ACCGACACCTGGTGTTTTCACTGCTGCAGTGTGTGTAGGGTTTGGGCTTGTAACTCCCTGATGACTGGTGGTGCCGGGCACCTGTCCGGTCTCAGCAGCTGCTCACATCTGCTTTTTGTGAAGTTTTTTTGTTTCTGTTGCAATATTTTGCCCATGATTGTACCCGATTGTTTTCCTTTAATGCATTGTAAGAGTTATTCATACACTCTGGCAGGAGACATTTGTTAGAGCTATGTGGTGAGAATGCTTCCTCACTGTCTGTGACTGTTTTCATTTTCTTAGTGATGACTTTTGAAGAGAAGCTTTTACTTTTGATGAAGTGTCATTTCTCCCTCTTTATGGTTATGGCCTAATGTGTCCTGTTTAGAAAAGCTTTGCCCACCCCAGGCTGTGGACATATTCTTCCATATTTGCTTCCAGAAAATATACTTTTAGTGCTATGTTTAGGTGGAGATGGCTTTTGAATTCATTTTTGTGTGTGGCATGAGATAAGGGTAGACTTTCATCTCTTCCTGATTCAAGCATCTCGTTGTTTCAGCAGCATTTGTGGAAGAAACAGCCCTTTCCCGTGGAGATGCTGAGAACAGCTGCCTCCTCTATTTTGCCCAGCTTGGCGGTTGCTTTTGGTCTGGGATTGGTTATGCCACATGGCTGGAAGCAGAACACTGTAACCTGTCTTTAAATGCAATGTGGAGAATTTGTCTTTTGACAAGTGAATCCCACTTATATTTATTGCCATTTCTGTGGCATTGGCATATATTGGGACCATCCCTTACTGTTTATCTGTCCCTTCCTCAGAGGAAAACTTGATGTGGCTGGCTGCCCTGGAAATTACACGTCTGACTGTGATCTCCCGGTGTCTTCTCCTGACTGAAATCATGCATTTATGTCTTTCAGGAGCTTAATACACTGACCTGAAAAGCATCTCAGCCATGACACCCACCTCCAAGAGAAATAGGCGCCTCAGCGGACTCCCGGGAGCTGTGCCCTCCAGCACCAGCCACACCAGAAGTATCCGGATGTTGGTCTGTGTTGCTGCAGACGCAGTCTGTTAGGGTGGAGGGCTTGGCCCTTCTATCCATGGGGAACTAGACTCAGCTTTACCCAACCGTGGGCTTTCCCACACATCTGGTATGATTTCTGGTTATCTTTCTTTATGGGGAATACTTCCTCCAGGGTGTCCAGAGGACCTTGCTTGCGACTCCTTCTGATGATTTCTGGGCTTCGGGAGACGTGTTTGCCCTGTTCTTCTAAGTGATGATTCTACCATACATGAAATGCAAGTAGCCTCCCTCCACACGCTGATGTCTTCGTGTGCCCTCACCTCTGCTGTCGCCTGGTCCCTGCTCTCCTGTAGCTCAGTCTGCAGGGTATCTCCTGGAACGGCTTTTGGAGTTCCCCATTAGCTTCATCATGTATTGTATCATGTACCATGTTGAGGACTCTAAGGATACATGTAAACATCTATTCCCCTGGACACTTGAGTCCTTCTACTCGGAGATCTCAAATCTTCCCCTCATTCACAAGTCTTCAAAACCTAATGATTTCAGCACCTTCCCCACTCTTCCCTCCCAGAGCCCCCATCTGCGGTGTTAGCACTGACAATGCCTACTTCATTTGTCCTGTCCCAAAGCCTCCAGGAGCTGCACCCCGACCTCATAGCTCATCGACACTCACAGCTGGACCCGTATCTATTTCTCCTTCTATGTTTCCCTGCATACCGTATTTCCAGCTGGTTCTTGTACCTGCTAATTCTGGCCTCGTATTGCTGAGATCCCTGCCTGCCTCTTAAAAGATGTCATCGTTGTTAAAAATTAATAGACTGAAGAGAACATGGATTCCCCTTTGTCTGGTACAGATTGTTTAGTTTGTCTCTCAATGCGCTGGTGTATGTGTTTACAAAGGCATGCCTGTGTGTGCATGTGCGTAAAGATTTGGGGAGGAAACAGTTACCTGTCATGAAGTGGCTCCACACACATGTGCACACTTGTGCATACACATGCACGCACGCACACACGGCTGAGTCATGGCCAGCTCCCAGGGCTTTTTGCTACTCCTGCCTCCCTCCCCTTCCACTGTCCCGGTCACCCCATCAGGAGTTTGTGTTTTCACATCTGCTTCATGTGGGTCTGTGGATTTGATGGCTTAAACTGAACCGGAACTCTGTAACTTCCACTAGCTCTCTTCCTCTCCTGCCTGTCCTCTGCTCAGGGCCCTCTTGTGTCCCTCTTCATCTGCAACCGACTACTGGTGTTTGTGTCTCCCCCATGCGCTCTGGCAGGTTTGGCTGGCTGCCTTCCCCATCATGGCAGCCCACTGGCTCCCCAGGCCCCCAGACCCACTTCTCTCCTGCCTTAGGGGAGAGCCCCTGCACTTATCAGGGCTAGGGCCACCCTAAAAGACCCATCAATGTCTGCTTTTGGGGCTGTAGCTCAAAGTTGCAGGACGCTTTGGGGAAGTATCCTTCGAGGTTCAAGGCCAGCCCTTCTCCTGTCCTTTTCTTCTTCCTGCAACTGGAATGTGACCAGAGGGCTAAAACCAGGGCAGTGTCCTGTGTAGAGGACACAGAACCCCAGAGGGAAGAGTCCCAGTGGCCCTTCATACCTCCCTGAGCCTCTGAGAGAATCAACCTCCATCTTGTTAGAGCCACTGTTCTGTGTCATATTGTTACCTGAAGCCACATTAGTCCTTATGATGATTTCTCATTTTGTTGATCATGTGCTCAGCTGAAATACCTATTTTCTGGGCAAGGAGAGTGCAATCACTGTACCTCAGCAGATGTCTCCATGTGGGATTTATGTTGACACGATTGCTTTTCTGCCAGCTTGACACCTGCCCCTTCCCCAGGGACATGTGACCCCTGGAGCAGCAGCAGCCATCCTGTGATATGCTGAGGACGGCCAACCAGCCTGAGCTCCTAGAAATTTCCATTCCAGTCCTCAGGATTTTACACGTGATGGCAAAACCTATTTGGTGAAGCTGCTGCAATCAGGTTTTCATTCAATGCAGCACATCACAGTCTTAAATAATGTGTCCTAGCTGGGCTCGGTGGCTCAGCCTGTAATTCTGTGCTTTGGGAGGCTGAGGTGAGTGGATTGCCTGAGTCCGCAGGTTTGAGACCCGCCTGGGCAACTTGGTGAGACCTCATCTCTACAAGAAATAAAAAAATTAGCCGGGGATGGTAGCGCGTGCCTGTAGTTCCAGCAACTTGGAAGGCTGAGGCGGAAGGATCGCCGGAGCCCAGCAGGTCAAGGCTGCGGTGGCCGAGAGCATGCCACTGCACTCCACTCTGGGCGACAGAGTGAGACTCCAACTCAAAAAAATAAATAAATAAATGTGTCCTTCCTAAGGATTTATTTTCCGCAACTTAAAATTTTTAAGGCTGGAGTCTTTCCTAAAAAAACCTCACTTAAGACTATAAATTGCCCTCTAGGTACAACTTTAACTGCATCCCAGAAATTCTGACATGTGCTGTGTTCATCATAATTCTGTTCTAAATATCTTTGTTTCATTTTGGCTTTCCTCTTTAACCCGTGAATTAACATGGAGTGTGTCTTTTAGCTTCTGAATGGTTTGACTTCTTTTACTATCATTGGCTGTTTTTCTAATTTCCTTAGTCACAGTGGACTCTGAACAATGTGACTCTTTGGGGTGTGAGGGTTTCTTTGCGGCTGAGTTCGTGGTCGGTTGGTGTGGGTATTCCAATTGTGTATGAGGAGGAAGTGTCCCTGTTAGGCATGCAGCCCCACCTGCCCCTCCTGTGGCCACTCGCTCTCATCGCCCTCAAGGCAGAACCCATCTTGATGCTGCCTGGCTTCTCTGATCTCTGACCTGTTTGTGCGGTGTTCCATTCTGTCATGCTGTGGCGAGAGGTGGCCTTCAGGGCTGCCTCCTGGCCTTGGGCAGGGCCGTGTCTCCCATGGTAGGTGTCCCCTCCCATCCTGGACCTGCTTGCCACTCCCTCTATGGTCTCTACATGCACCACTTCCAGGACCAGACAGAGCATCTGAGGCTGCTTTGCTTCCCCTTCGTGGGCTGTGCTTTAGTGCCTGTGAGCGGCACCTGTGATCTCAGTGAGTTGCTCCTTCTTTCAACATCAAGGGTCTGTCTCAACACTTCCCCCTGTGGCACACTCTCTCTTCATGTCTGGCACCTGCTTAGCTACAAGAGTGGGACCAGTGGAAAAGGAAGTGAAAGTTCCCACATCTCCTCCAAGGGCCACAGAATTCCCAGTGTGTGTACTGGGCTCACCCCATGCTGTCCAAGACATGGTGCCTGGGACACAGCAGGAATAGACAGTGAGGCCCTGGCTCAGGAGTGTCCGTGAGGAGACAGACCAAGAGCAGGGGCACTAGGTAGCGTGGTGCTCTAAGATCCTAAGGTCGAGGGGCCAGTGGTGTCATACCTCAAAGCAGGGTCCCTGCACAAGGAGCCCATCACAGGGCTGGGCACATATGGGATTGTCACTCGCACACAAGGATCTGAACTCCTTCTTGGGCTGGGGCCAGGATAAGTGAAGGACGATAGGATTGTACATGCAAGGGTGCCGACAGACACGCTGGCGCCGAGGTGGGGGTGCTGATCCTAGAGAGTGGTGCCGGCAGGGGCATAGAAGGTGCCAAGGCCCTGGGGCAGGTTCTGGCTTCCAGGCCCAGGGTGTTAGGAGTGCCGGGCTGGCATCTTGGACCCTTGGCTCTACAGCTGTGTGGGTGATCAGTGGCCAAGCTGACCGCGGTCGTGTGTGAGGGGTGAAGTGGGAAGGGCAGCTCCAGGGCCGGGCCACATTGGAGAGGCCAGAGGAAGGAGCTGGTCCTGGATAGCTTGTATGAGCAGCTGGTAAGTGGTGGCTGCCCTGTGCTGCTGCCCTCAGATCCCAACTTCTCACCCTTCACCCTCCTCTCCTCCACAGAGACCAGGGCTGCAGGCCCTCAGGGAGGAGGGTGAGCCTGTACTGTGCACCCTCCAGGAAATGACCACAGTGCCACATGCATGCAATCATGGTTTATCTGAACGAAGGGCTACAGGTGAGGCCTGGGGACAACCAGGGCCTTTTCCTTCCTGCCCCTCTGATTCCCAAGGGTCTCCTTCCTGCCTTCCCATGCCGAGCTCACCATCGGCATCCATACGGACCAGGGTGCTGAGCTACTCAGGGCAGCATGGGGAATGTCCTGGAGGGAGAAGGAGAGTGGACGCATCAGGAGAAGCCAGTCAGCTCTGGACCAGCCTGCCCACAGACACAGGCCTCTGAGAGTCGCTGCGTCCTGGTCTCCCGCACTGCAATCCACCTTGGGGGGAGCAGAAGCACCAGACAGGGACATCATTGGCTCAGTCTGCTGAGGAGGCACAAGGCTGCTTATCCTGGGCCCACTTGCCCTCATCCTCAAGCAGCCGCCTTCTCGCCCAGCCCGGCCGGGAGCCCCTCGTTCTCGCATCTACTCCCCTTGGACTCCCTGATGCCCTTGCTCCTGCCATGTTACCTCCTGCCCCACCTGGCCTGGCCCCACCTGGCCTGGCCCCACCTGGCCTGGCCTGACCACAGCCCTGGAGACACACCTGTCACACTCTGGCTCCAGTCCCAACTAGAGGCCAGTGCCCCTGGATCCCTATGCCCTGTACCACACATGCCTCCTGCACCCCTGTGCCCTGCACCCACTGTGCCCTGCATTATTCCTGCTCCCTGCCACACCCTGTGCCCCTTCAATCACCCATGCCCCCTGCATCCACCCTGCCCTGCACCCACCCGTGCCCTGCACCCCCTACTCCTGCACCCACCCATGCCCTGCACACTCCCTGTACCCACCTGTGCCTCCAGCACCCACCCATACCTCCTGCACCCACCCACGCCCTGCACCCATGCTCACTCCTCTGACCAGCCTTCCAGGTGAGGTGACCTGAGCCACCCTCCTCCCACCCTTCCTCTCTCATCCACCCTCCCTGGACTCCCAGGACCCCTCCCGCAGGCCCTGGCAGGTGTCAGCTGGGTGCGCACCTGGGCTCCACCCTCTCACTGTGCTTACCCTGCTCAAGGCCCCACCTACCCCATGGCCACAAGCCCCTCAGGCTCCTGCTGCCCCAATCTATGCCCCATGACCCCATGCTCCTGCTGCTGCAGGCTACTCAGTGCAGCACGGGGAGTGTCCTTCCTGCCATCCAGATCTAAGGTCCACCTTACCTCCTCTGGGACAACCTCCTGTGCCTGCATCTCGCCCTGGATGGTGCCATGCCCGCTGTGGGGCCCAGCAATGCTTAGATGACCTGCATGCTCTGCTGTGCCCCCTACCGGGTGCCCCTCCTTCTTGGACTCACCTGGCCCTCCCAGGTGTCCTGGAGGCTGGGCACCCTGTGGCCCAGAGCTGTCTGTCTGACTGATAGCTCCTGGCTCCCCTGGAGGAGAGAAGAGTGTGCTTGAACGGGGATGTAGTTGGGGCCCTGCCCTGAGGGGGATGGCGGGTGTCTGGGCCTCTCTCTGGCACCAGTAGCTGATGCAGTCCTCAGGGAGGCTGAAACCTTGAGGGCAGAGGCAGCACACTCTGTCCCAGCAAAGTTGAGAGGTGATGGCCAAATGGGAGGTGTGGGGCCCTGTGACGGTGCCCGTCACCTGGTCCAGACTGGTGGATGCAAAAGGGGCTTTCTGTTCCTAGGCAGTGGCCACCCTCATCTGTGGGCTGAGACTGCCAAAGTGGGGAATTCCCTGAGGGAGACATTCACACAGAGCAACGTGGGGCCTATGGGCTCCACCAGACTGCCAAGCTTTCTGTGATATCTGTGGTGAAAGGTGGCATTCAGCCGACACCCAGCAAAATGGAGCCCTCCCGGATGGTGGTGCAGAAATGCCCTGCCTGGCGGGGCCCAGCCCTTCCTCCCATCCAGGCCTCTCAGATGCTGTCTCCCCCAGTCAGCCTCTTGTCCATCTTGACATCCGCTGTGACCTGCCACAGTCTCCTGACAAGGCTGCTGGAGCCTCCCGTTGCCTCGAGTCGGAAGATGGGGGAAGACGGGGCAAGTGGGAGCAGGCAGGCAAGGACAGGGAGAATAGCAGTAGGTCGGACTCTCTGGGGCGGCCCCACTGGCAGCTCCTAGAGATTGGGGAAAGGGCCACTTCAAGGACCCCAGGAGGCCAGCAGCCCCTGACTCTCTGGTTGTGACTGTCTACAAGTAGGCTCAGGGAAGCCCCATGTCCCCTCCAGCCCAGGGGGTTCCCTCCACCAGGCTTACCAACACAGCAAAACCCCTGCCAGCACAGGCCCCAGGGGACGGCCGCACAGAGTAGAAAGCACCGTACCTCTGTTGCCCAGGTGGCCTCTGCCCTCCCATTGTCTGGGAAGTGGGGCCTGTCTGCGTGTGCCGGGGGACCCTGGGGACTCCGCCTTCTCCCCCAAGATGGGCATCGGGGGCCTGGTGTTCTCATGGAGGAAGGAGTCAAACCTCAGCACGTGCGCTGGAGAGAGGAGACATGTCAGGCAGACACAGCGGCCCAGGGGACATGAGGCCTCTGTGGGCCACGCCAGGATGGGTGCACACGTGGTGGGCCAAGCCAGGGTGAGGATGGGCACGCGTGGTGGGTGCACGCAGAGGCTTCACTCACTCTGGATGGCCGACTCACAGGCCTGGCTCACGAGCTGGTAGATGGTTGCCAGGGACTGCGGCTCACCCTGGAAGGTGAATGGTGGCTCTGGGACCCATGTGGCCCACGTCTTCCCAGAAGTGCCCTACCTCCCAGGCTGAGTCAGAGACTCTCGGACTCACCCACCTTCTCGCCTCGCTCCCCTTTGGGCCCCGGCAGCCCCTGAAGTGGAGGAGAAGAGCTGTCAATGGGGGATGGTCTCCCAGGAGGCTCAGCCTGAGGGTCCTGTTCCAGGCACACTCAGCCATGGTAGTCCAGGGTCTGGCCACAGGCGGCAAGACCCCACGGGACAGCTGAGTAAAGCCCTAGCTTCAGTTCCCAAGTCCTGGGAGCCAGTCCATGCCTGCACCCCAGAGCCAGCAAGTGGGAGCTCCGGACACCCTGCAGCAGGGAATCCAGGCACCCAGGCCTGGAAACCACCTCCCCAGCCACTGGGAGAGCCTGGAGCCCACCCATGGGTGCTCTGGAGAACAGTTGAAGGCCCCAACCTTGCTTGTAAGGCCAGAAAGGTCCCAGGGTGCAGCTTCCCCAGGAGTGAGCTGCCGACTCTCTGCCAGGTCTGTTCTCTCCCATGGCCTGGGGAGCCCCAGCCCCTCTCAATCCTCTCCCAGGCCTGTCCTGGGGGACAGGAGACGAAGTGGAACCAGCCCTGGCTCTACCCTGCTCTGTGCAAGCTCCAACACCACCGCCCAGCTCAGAACAGGCCTCCATCTACAAACAGGAAGTCCCTGAGCAGTCAGTGGGATGCCCCTGAAGGGTCAACAAGACATCTGAGAGGTCAATGGGAAATCCCTGGGGGCGAACAGGAAGTCCCTGAGAGTTCAATGGGATGTCCTTGAGGGTCAGCAGGACGCCCCTGAGAAAATGATGGGAAGTCCCTGAGAGGTCAATAAGATATCCCTGAGTGTCAACAGGAAGTCCCTGAGCAGTCAGCGGGATGTCCCTGAGGTGTCAGTTAGATGCCCCAGAGGTCAATGGGAAGTTCTTGGGGGTCAACAGGAAGTCCCTGAGCAATCAATGGGAAGTCCCTGTGTGATCAATGGGATGTCCATGAGGGATCAATAGGAAGTCCCTGAGCAGTCAGCAGGATGTCCCTGAGAGGTCAACAAGATGTCACTGAGAGGCCAATGGGAAGTCCTTGGAGGTCAACAGGAAGTCCCTGAGGGGTCACCTGGAAGTTCCTGAGCTATCAATAGGATATCCCTGAGCAGTCAACAGGAAGTCTCTGAATGATCAATGGCAAGTCCTTGAGTAGTCAATGGGAATCCCCTGAAGGGTCAACAGGATGGCCCTAGTGGTTAACAAGATGTCCCTGGGCTATGAACAGGAAGCCCCTGAGGGTTCAATAGGATGTTTCTGAGTGGTCAACAGGATGTCCCTAAGAGGTCAATGGAAAGTCCCTGAGTTGTCAACTGGATGTCCCTGAGGGGTCAGCGGGACATCCCTGAGAGGGCAGCAAGAAATCCCTAAGCAGTTGACAAGATGTCCCTGAAATGTCAACAGGAAGTCACTGAGAGGTCAACAGGAAGTCCTTGAAGGGTCAACAGGAAGTCAACAGGAAGTCAACAGGAAGTCCTTGAGCAGTCAAAAGAATGTAGTCAACAGGACATCCCTGAGTGGCTGACAGGAAGGCCCTGAGTGGTCACACACTAGGAATGCACTGTTCATTTCCCCACCTTTGGCTGGCTGGCAGGGGGTGGGGTAGACTTACCGTGGGCCCCACGGCCCCTGGGGCCCCTCGCTCCCCACTGCTGCCCCTGGCCCCTGCCATGCCCTGGAATCCCTGCAGAGATGCAGAAGTGGGACTTGTCTGGAGCCCTGTGAGCCTACTCCCTCCTCAGCCCTGGCCTCCGGGCTCCACTGCCCGTAGAGGCTGCCCCCTGCTGGCCCAGCCTCCCTCCAGCCTGGTCCAGGCCCTGCCTCCTCTATGCATTGGGTAAGGGTGGGAGGGTTTTCAGGGTCATACCTACCCTGGGTCCTGGGGGTCCAGGCAGGCCAGCCGTCCCCTCCAGTCCTCTCATTCCCTGTCAGCAAAGGAAGGGTGAGCTGAGGGGTTTGTGCCTGTACACACCCTCTCACAGTGACCCACACTCAAGGGGATACACCAGCACCTGGCTCAGAGATAAGGGCAGCAGGCTTACCCCCAGCCCACAGGGTGTCGAGCCACAAGGAGGCGGGTGGAAGAGGAAGCCCTTCCCCTGCCACAGGCTCCATCTCCAAGACGCCCTCCCCCCAGGCCAGTCTCTGTCACCCATGCAGAACCATCCAGGCCAGAGACAGTACCTTTGGTCCCTGGAGGCCGACTCTCCCTGGGTTGCCCTGGTGGCCAGGGAGGCCCTGGGAGAGAACAGAGGTAGCCAGGAAGGACCAAGGTCACACATGTAGGAGGGGGCCTACCTACAGGACCCACCCCTTACTATTCACCCATTACCCACACTACCTGCAGGCCTGGGAGTCCATGGTCCCCCTTCTCTCCTTTGACCCCCGGTGGACCCTAAAGAGGGAAGATGGGCTGGGCAGCAAGGAGGAGGGTGCAAGGGAGGAGGGCAGGGACAAGAGAGCACATACCACAGGTCCCTGCACTGTATGGCCCTGGGTCCCAGGCGACCCCTGCTGACCTCCAGGGCCTTCAGGTCCCGTCTGTCCGGGTGGCCCAGGCTCTCCCTAGAGACACAGATAGGGGGTGGGCCTGAGAGGGCATGCCATACCCTCCCGCGACCCCTCTGGTCACAGCTGGTCCCCCAGCCCTCTGGGCATTCCCACCCAAGCCCATGAGAGGAGACAGCTTCAGCACTGTCCACCCAGGAGGGCCCCAGGATGACCTCATCCCACGGAAGGTGGCAGAGCCAGCATGTGAAAAGAATCCTGCCAAACCCTCCCGTGGCCTCCCCATCTGGACTCTGGGTTTCAGCAGGGGTTCAGGGGGCTGCAGAGATCACTGAGGAAGAGCCAAACACCCCAGTAAGCCAGTTACATGGAGTCTTTCCAAGTAACACAGAAGCCTTTCTTTAAGTTCTTCCCCTATAGTGTGGGTGACACTGATGTTAAACTGTTTCAGACCAGGAAAGCACTTCTATTTAAGTATTTACATTTAAGAGATGGGGTCTGGCTCTATCGTCCAGGCATTATAGCCTCAAACTCCTCCGTAGCTCATTACAATCTCAAACTCCTAGGTTCAAGTGCTCCTCCACCTCCACTTGGCCTCCCAAAGCACTTGCCACCTCATCTGGCCCAAATTATTTTTTTGAGTTAAGCAAACCAATGTCCTGAACTCTATAAAGAAAACTGCACACAACCCTTTTTATGAGTTCAATGCAAAAGCCCTAAATAAAATGTCAGCAGATGGGATCCTGCCGCACATTAAATGGATAATGAGGCTGGCATGGCGGCTCACAAAGCACTTTGGGAGGCAGAGGTAAGAGGATCACTTGAGCCCAGGAGCTCGAGACCAGCCTAGGCAACAGAGCAAGACCTCATCTCTACAAAAAAATAAAATTAGCAGGGCATGGAGGCACATCCAGTTACTCAGGAGGATGAGGTAGAAGAATCATCTGAGCCCAAGCGTTGGAGGCTGCAGTGAGCTGTGATCATGCCACTGCACTCCAGCCTGGGCAACAGAGTAAGACCCAGACTCCAAAAAAAAAAAAAAAAGATAAGAGAACTCAGCGACCTAATCGGCTTTTTAGTGGATGCAAAAATAGTTCAGTATTCAGGGACAGACTAAAATTAATAGCCAATCGCTCTAAGAAAAATGATTTGATCATGCCCATAGCAGCACTAAAACTTATTTACTGATTTTTAAAATCTCCTAATGAAATAAGAGCAGATGGACTTTGCTATCACATGATGGACACATCTGTCCAGCTTCCACGCCCGCGCTGCACTTTGCCGACAAGTACCAGAGTGCTTCCATGCAGCCAAGCAGATGTGAAGCCTGCTGCTGCCGCGGCACCCCAAGAAGGTTCTGGAGCATTTACCAACACCCCCAGACAAGAGAAGAAATGAGAGCTACAAAGAAATCAGAGTTGCAAAGGAGAAGGTGAAGTTTTTCCTGCAGGTGATAGCACTGTAAACCTGGGAAACCCAAGAAGACCATCTGATAAAAAGTATCACAGACTGGGCACGGTGGCTCAAGCCTGTAATTCCAGCAGTTTGGGAGGCTGAAGTGAGAGGATTGCCTGAGTTCAGGGGTTCAAGACCCAACTGGGCAACTTGGTGAGACCTCGTCTCTACAATAAATCAAAAAATAAGCCAGGCATGGTAGTATGCACCAAGTAGTTCTAACTACTTGGAAGGTGGAGGCAGAAGGGTCACCTGAACCCAGCAGGTTGAGGCTGTGGTGGCTGTGAGCGTGCCACTGCACTCCAGCCTGGGCAACAGAGAGATTTTGACTCAAAAAAAAAAAAGTATCACAGAGAAGACAGTTGAGTAAGAAAGTCAGGCATAAAGGTGTAACACACAGAAAAGCAATCGGGATGTAAATTGTGAGATGGAGGCTGCAAGAAAAGAGAAGCCACATGGACAACTGACATGGACAACTGACAACAGCAGCAGAATGATGACCAGACGGGGTTAGTGAGAACTGAGCAAGTCTGATAAGGAGAACCTTCCAGACATTCTACCAGGGGCCACAGAGGACATGGCCATGGGGTGAACAGTCTTCTTAGACAAGAAGACCCAGTACTCTACACTTGTCAGCTGGTCCTAAGTATACCCATAAATCAAAAGTGGTGGCAAATAAAAACACCCACTGAACGGCTTGGAGTAAATGAATGAGCTGGTTCTAAAGTTCAATAAATTAGGAAATTAGCAGAGACAGTCAGAAAAATTCTAGGGGAAGAATATAAAAGAGAATAAGCCCTTCCGGATGTCAGAGTGTTAAACAAATCTGTGATGATTTAAGAAGTGTGGTCCTGGCCAGGCACAGTGACTCAAGCCTGTAATCCCAGCACTTTGGGAGGCCAAGTTGAGAGGATTGCCTGAGGCCGGGGGTTTGAGACCAGCCTGGGCAACTTGGCGAGACCTTGTCTCTTCAATAAATCAAAATATTAACCAGGCGTGGTGGTGTGCACCTGTAGTTTCAGCTACCTGGAAGGCTGAGGTGGAAGGATCGCCTAAGCCCAGCAGGTCGAGGTTGCTGTGGCCGTGAGCATGCCACTGTATTCCAGCCTGCTGGATGACACAGTGAGATTCTGACTCAAAAAAAAAAAAGAAGCAGCATGGTTCTTGTGCACATTGACAAGACAGACTTGGAGGTTCTGACAAAGACCAAATACACAGGGGACTTAGGACATGCCGGGGACAGCATCAGCCTTGGATGCTAGGGAGTCTGGAAAGAGAGGCACTGTATGACTGTATGGTTCCCCCCCCACCCCCCGCCCCGCTACACGGCATGAATTCCAGATGAATCAGCATGTGTTTAAAAGGCATGAGGAAGACGGCTGGGCTCAATTGCTCAGTCTGTAATCCCAGCACTTTGGGAGGTGGAGGCGAGTGGACTGACTGAGCCCATGGGTTCAAGACCTGTCCGGGCAACTTGGCGAGACCTCATCTCTACAATAAATCAAAAATTAGCTGGGTGTGGAAGCTCACACCTATAGTTCTGGCTACTTGGAAGACTGAGGCGGAAGGATCGCCAGAGCCCAGCGGGTTGAGGTTGTGGTGCCCAGGAGCGTGCCACTGCACTCCAGTCTGGGCAACAATGAGACTCCAACTCAAAAAAATAAAAATAAAAAGGCATGAAGAGAAGGAGAAAACGAGGAAGGTCTATCCACTCTTGGACTAGGGAAAACTTTTTTTTTTTTCTGAGTTGTAGCCTCACTCTGTCGCCCAGGCTGGAATGCAGTGGCACACTCACGGTGACCCCAGCATCAACCTGCTGGGCTCCAGCAATCTGTCTGTTCTAGCCTTCCAATTAGCCGGAACTACAGGTGCACACTACCACACCTAGCTAATTTTTGATTTATTGTAGAGACGAGGTCTCGCCAAGTCACCCGGGCTGGTCTTGAGCCCATGGGCTCAGGCAATCCACTCGCCTCAGCCTTCCAAAGTGCTAGAATTATAGGCTGAGCCACTGAGCCTCGCTAAGGAAGACCTTTAAGAACAGGATACGAGCCGGGCTCAGTGGCTCAGCCTGTAATCCCACGCCTTGGGAGGCTGAGGTGAG